GGTGTTCTGCTTTATCTTTAAAATATTGATTTCTTAATTTTGGATTGAAAAAGTAGGGGTCATCTTATACATGGGGGTGTCTTATTAATGGAAAAATACAGTAATTTATTCCTCTAGAACAGTGTTTCTTGACCTCAGCAACTTTAAGATGTGTGGACTTCAACTCCCAGAATTCCCTAGCCAGCACAGGAGTTGAAGTTGACATATCTTAAAACATACTGGCTGGGGGATTCTGGGAGTTGAAGTTCACACATCTTAAAGTTGCTGAGGTTGAAAAACACTGCTCTAGAATGCGGTAATCTACAAAACTTGGAATCAAAGCTTGGGCATCAAATGACACGCTAAGACTAAACAATTTAAAAAAGCATTTAAAGAAAACAAATATTGCATAATATGTAAACTGAACTGACTCAGTGGAACTAGTAGAAAAATAAAGCTACATTCATGGATCTTCAACAAGTATATCCAATTTAAACTTTTAGGATACTGCTCTTAAAATACATTTGCTAAAATTGTTCAGCTCAAAGATGTTAATTAAGAATCCTTCATAAAACAGCCTACCTGTGCCACAACCTGCAGAGGAGTAATTAGACTGCTAAATTCAATCTGGATGTCAGGGAGATCTCCTTGCCTGTATTTTCTGTACAAAGTGACCTGAGCATCATGCTTCATCTTCAGCTGGGTTTTTATTTCCTGCAACAAGTTATCATTTTGTCACAAGTAGTAAAAACTTGCACCTCACATAAGATCAGCTCTTCAAGTCCCTTACTGCGTCTCTAAAGCCACCCTGCAATTAGAGACAGGCTTCATGAAATTGGAGGCTAGATTGGTTCAGACTATCTTTTTTTCCCCTTGGCCTTGCCCCATTAACTATGAGGGATGATTTTCAATCCACATGGAAAGAGGCAGTGGCAACTAAAATCTCATCCTTGGGCTTCTCTCCAGGTCTTCTACTCAGCATGGGATATGATCAGGCCAAAGCACTAATTGAACAACATGTAGCAGACACAGGGCACCAATTAGATCTAGCCAGAACCCCAAACTTTATTGCCAGTGAGTCCAACAGGTACTCTGCCTCCCTTGGCACACTTAACTAAACTTGAAGTACCTAAATTCTGGAGGGCCTTTACCCTGGCATGATGTTATGCCCTCCCTCAGCTGTCCTTGAAGGCCGATACAGGAAGATTCCTTACCCAGAGAGACAATGCCCCTATGGCTCTGGACACATGGGAAAAACAGAGCATGTGCTTCTCCAGTGCCTGTATTCAGAGAGATTCGTACTAGCCTTATCTCACCATTACTGCATACCCAGGGCACACAGGACAATTTTATACCATCCTGCTGCTTTCAGATACCAACCATGCCACAACATACAATGTTGCCAGGTTCTGTGCAGCAGCGCTCAAAATTTGTCAGACGATGACCCGTGATAAACTAAATTTAATGAGCACCTAGTCTGCCATATTCGAGTGCTAGTTAAACTTAATAGATATAGTCTTCCACATACTGGAACATTTTTTTATGTTCCCCTACGTCAATCTAATGCTCCTATCCCTTCTTTTCTCCTTCATGGATCACTGCCTTGTCGTGGCGAAGGGGCTTGCGTAACTCAGTGAAGC